TCAGGTTGATGCAGTCGTGACCGAAGCCAGCCAGCCCGTTTTTTGAAACAGGGCGCTATATATTCGGGCAGCTGTGCATCCCGCTTGTTGTCTTTTCGCCTCATTAACACGGATATGTGTATGACGACGAGGATGGGTCAACTTCTTTCGGCGCTTGTCGTGATATGATCCCAACGGGGATCAGAAGTACGCAACTAATAACGTCCTCTTGAATGTCTACTCAATGCACTCATTCAGGTTGATGCCGTCGTGACCGAAAACAGCCCATTTTTTGAAACAGGGCGCTTCTATATTCGTGCAGCTGTGTGTCCTGCTTGTTGCCTTTTCGCCCGCATTACACGGATATGTGCAGGACGACGAGGATGGGTCAACTTCGTTTGGCGTTATTAGCCGCGAAGTTATCTTGGTAAGGAGGTTTCTAGTTCCTTACGAAATTTGATTGAAACTCGTGTATGACTAAGTTCAACAAAAGTCACAAACATCTATTGTATCGAGCCTTTATTTATTTTAAGACATCTGGTATTCACGAGATTTATCTGAAGAACTGTGCATCATTTCATCTGAATGTTTAGACCACCATCGAAAGTTCTACCGGAACTCAGGGCCGCCCCTATCCTGTAAATGCGCGATCCAATGGGGATCAAGGGTAGGTACACTTATCATAAAATCACTCCAGACTCCCCCGTTGTCCATTTGCTTATGAAAGCATGTTTAGATAGGCCACGTCATCCGCGATACGACCCTCCGACAGTCGCCCAGAAGTCAAGGTGAGGTCCTTCCTACTTGCTTTTATAAGATTAAATGTTTTCTTGTTTTTATGCTTATGGAATGATACTGCTTATATTTCAATTCGTGTAAATTAATCCCGGCATCTCTCTCTTGCTCACATACTGTAATGCTTACTTTATATCACTTCAGCGAGCGCCATCTTTTCATCTTGCTTTCTTTGTTTTTTCCTGCTTTTTCATTTGAACAGAAGATTTTCTTGCTATCTGGTGTTGGTGTCCTTTTTATTCGAATTTCCTTACTATGATTAATTTGGTTAACTTGGTGATTATCTTCCATCTTTTGTTTGTTCTGTCTACATATTCGTCTTCTCTTATCATTGCATCTCCCCTTGGAAATCTCTTTGGTGTTACCGCGTTCATCCTGTGTATCTCGAAATTTTTGGCAGCCTCCTCATATGTGCTCGCTGGACGAGAAAAGCGCTGTTAGGTAATGGCTTGATGAAGTGGAAAGTCGGGAAACCTTTTGTCTCAATTGTTATGCACGTATCTTCCATCAGAACCTGAAATGACTCGTCGTATGCCTTTTCTGTGGATCAACTAGAAAGGAGCGTAATTGTATTTCAAGGGACGTTTCAAAAAAAAAACCGGTTTTTGTAAAAGAACAACTCTTAAGTTGGGTTTAATCACCCTAGTTTGAGGTTTGAAGTGGCTTAAGGCTTGGGTTTTGACTAGCAGATTTACGGCTCCATCAGCATGTCGGTAGTACTGTCCCGAGCAATCATATTGACAGTCACTCCTGCTTACAGGGTTAGAGGGCCATTCGAGCGAAGGAGCGGAGCATGCGTTAAATGGATGATGTACTGGATTGTCTTTGCAATGTACATACACTTCGATAGAAGCGCTGGCCGATATTTTCATCTAATTTGGGTTTCCATTTTATTATCAACTGAAGATCGTTTTCGTCTTGTGGTTGTTGAGTCCATGGATAAAAGGCGCATTCATTTCCTACCAAAAGTGGATTCATCCTACGCTCTCCAAGCATGAGGAGGATGTCGTTCATGCTGTTGGAGTCAGCAAAAGCCGAAAGTTATAACCAACTTTTAAGGTTGGGCAGTCGCAGCCGACGATGCGCTCGCGACATGGTAGCTGAAGGGCCGAAGCAGCTCTGTGTGGTCAGGCCTGACTAGTAAATCAGTTTAGAGATTATGTAGTGCTGGTAATGTTAATCGACAACATCTCGGAAACGCATTCAAGTGGAAGGAATCGAAGAAATCGGCGATGGAGATAGCGAACACCACAGACAGCGAACAGATTAGCAGGGCAACACCATCACTCAGGTGATGAGAAGGATTCAATGCCAGCAAATGTGGGCATCAGGATCCACCTTTTTTTGACGTCATGCTCATCCTTCCCACTTCTGTCGAGCCGAAGGAGTCGGGCTTATTCATGTCGCAGCTTTCCACGAGGTTTCCGTGTCAAGCCATCTGAGAGTCCCTTGACCTGATATGGTCGACTTCAGTTCCTTTCACAGTTGAACGTATTGAAACCTTGTGCAACGTCGCTGTGCCGAAGATTCCAGCGCCGGTTAATCTCTGTGATCTGCTATATTGTTTAGGTTCATTCTCACACAATCGTATCATTTTTCTCATATCTTGTCGAATTTTTTTCTTAAACCAGAGCACAGTATAATTTATTCTTTCTTCTCAGATTTTTCATGTGTCTAGCATAATTATATGCATGAAATACTGGGGCATCCCTGATCGTATAGGGTTACCATTATCGTCTAACCGTATGATTCGCTTCGCAATTTGATTTTCATTGCTCGTATCGTATTCGTGCTGCAGTATTCCATCCATATAATTCTCTTCTTCATTTCCTTATAGCTTAGCATCGGCTTGATTCACGTTAATCAAGACTATACCATGCTTTTTGTCTTGATTTTCTATATATGCATATACTTTCGACATGCAGCCTTCAGTGCCTTTCCAAACTCACCTCCTACCTATTTCATGAGGTGTTTTATTTTCCATTTTTTACTCATAATTAGTTGTATTGTTTGCCGTACTTACCTGAGAACCCGATTTACTTACTATTTGACAGTCTGTAAACTGGATCCCAGTTTGAAATTAATCGCATTGGTTTTTTATGCTCACTGTACAGTAAACAAAAATGGTTCCCCGAGCGCCATGACTAGCATTCTAGCCGCTCTGTGAAATCGATCGCTCCAATTATTGATTAATGGAATGTATTGAGTGCAAGTTCAATAAGTAGTCGTTCCCCGTGTTAGGCGGTGGGCATTTCTAATGTGTTAGTTTATGCGCATCATTTCAATCTATTTCGTTGAGGGTCTTCTAAACTTGCAGTGATAAACACCAGTGTTTGTTGTTTTTTCAAAGCCCCTTGAGCATGCTACACAAAGTAACCTCCACTTCCGTGAAAGAGTACTCATTACTGAAAGCATACCTCTAGCTGATCACAGATTTGTCTTTACAATTTGGTAACTTTCACTTTTCAGTGGAGCTGCCACCAATGAATGGCAGTGGTCGTGGTTACTCCCCCGGCATTGCACCAGTGGTATCGTTTGCAGCTGGTATCGGGCGGCTGTTTAACGGCGGCGAATCTATCGTGTAGAAGGATTGGCACAAGTGAAAGGTGTGCTTCTTAAATCAATTAACATGCATGAAGCTCGAGAGTAACTCACCCTTTTTTCAGGTGATGTGCCTCGAAGACGTTTTTCCCAGCGCCTGACGATGAACGACAGTTTCGACTTTTTTTGTTGTGTACTGTTTTGTTGTGTACTGAGGTGGCTGGTAGAGTTGGACGCTCTGGGATGGCAGCCATTAGGGG